TGTCTGCTAGACCCAGCTGGATTTGGAGAGGGAGCCACACGGGGCTGGGCCTGGAAGTACCGTCCCCGGGCCAACCGGAACCGCCCAATGAGGCGTGGCTGCCTGAGTGTGCAAGCCAGGAGTCCCTCTCATCTGTGCAGAGTGGGGGCCATGTCTTCAGCATTTCCTACCAAGCCTAAGCGTCCCCCCTGAAGAGTGCAGCCTGCACCTGCGGAGAACAGATCTTTCTGGCCCTGGAGGCTGGAGCTGCCTCCCTACCATACATCAGCTGCTCTCTGTATCAGAGGGAGGTCACCACCACTGCTTTTGGCTGTACCTTCTCGTCTGATTGGTTTAGGCCCATCTAGAGCATGGAATGCTGGGTAAAAAGTGGCACTGACACTAAACGCTTCAGTAACACAGATTAATACATGTATCGTCTCCTTCGTGCCGGCTCGCAATATTTTTCTATGATCCCTTTAGGAGGAGGGTGGCTTTGTGCGTTTCAGGCTTCCGGCCCGAAGCTCCTGTTTTTTAGGTCACTGTAACTTTGCATCCCCCCCTGATGTTTGTCCTTGGTGGTTTACCGTGTAAAATGTGTTTTAAGAAGAAGGTATTTTTATCGCAGTAAGGATGTTCTCATGTCAGGCCATTCCTGAGATATCGACAGGGAATCTCGGCCAAGGCAGCCGCCCTCCCTAGACTGCCGCAGATGTGACGGAGTAGCACAGCAGAAGAGGGCCGATCGCGCCATGTCGATGGGCAAGGTGATGCGACATCGACGCAGGGCAGTGCGGGATCCACACTTTTTACAATTTCAAGATCAGTCCATGTAAGAATGTTCCTATAGACATATACATGTATGACACCCATGCTGGAGGAAGGTGGCAGCAGTGATTTTATGCTGTATGAAATTCACAGCAGAATCAAGGTACACTGGCTTAGTTGGATATAATAAACTGAATAGCATCTATTCTGATATAAGAACTCAATGTTTACAAGGAAAAACAACGTGTCTATATGAAGCCTTGAACTAATATGGATTCCAAAAGTTTAAAAATGCAAAAAGCTGTCAGATTACAGTGTACAAACTACAGAAAATTCTGTTTCTCTTTCTAAATCCATACTGGCAACCATACCTCAGTCGCTTTCTGGAAGTCGTTGTAATATAATAGTTTATTTTTGTATTTTTCTTTTGCGAGGGGAGCAGTAGGAAAAGTATTTCACAATGCCCTGAATGCTTTGAGACGTAACCGGCCAAGTATTGATCGGTATTGCTTGATGTTTGTTAGGCCTGTTAAGGGAATGGTTTTATAGAGTAATAGCTCAATGGTTTAGCTATTTCATCAGACATGTAAGTACCATTTTTTTCTCGGCAAAGAAATACTGTGAAAAAGGTGCTTTAGCCACTTGATTGTGAACAAAGTGGTAAATTTTAACTCTTAAATAGTCTGTCTCCCCTGTGACTTCATTATAACTGGAGGGAGCAAATTAGGTCAAATTTCAGAGTTTGACACTTGGTTTATATATAACTGTGTATATATAAGCCAACTTTATTATTAAATGTTCTGCAACCACTTCATCATGTTGGACTAATTATTTATTAATTGCGTAATTCTTTTTTATATTGCTGCTATCACCATTGTATACTTTTAAAGAAAGTTATTGTCTGTATGTCTGAATAATAAAAAAAAAAAAGCTGCTGCTATTATACACTAAGGAAGCTCGTAGAAATCCTTAAAGATGAATGGAGCTAGCGCCAGAGGCCGTGATGTTCGTGTTTGTCATATATGCAATAAAAAGTGACATTTATATACTAACCTTTGGGTTAAAATAAAATGCCATTATTGTTTTTTTTTTCCCCTCCGTAGTATCTCTGTATTTGCAAAACTCATCTAACAATGATAGTGGGTCTTGTTTGGAAACGTTTAATTCTGCAGTTGGATTTGTTATAAAGGTTGAACGTTGGTGGACACTAAAATGGAATGTGCCTATGGACTGTTCAATGTAGCCTTTGTAACAAGATGCGTTCAGAAAATACATTCCTATATAGTTTGTTAAATGCATTATTAATCTGCACTTGTAGCTAGTTTTTTTTATGTGCTTTTGTGTTTGCAGAAATCGTCTAACCTCTAAATTTGCTGAACATCAATTACATTTCTTTTGTAAATATGATTTTGAAATAAATTAATATAAATCTACATTTCATTTGTTTATAACTTTTATTTACATTATTTACAGTACCAAAATGTTCAATCTAGTTGTTATAATGATGCCTTACCAAGGTACATCTGAATCCTCTTCCTTAAACTCGTAAGATACTCCTGTGTAAGATTCCACTGCTATCGGTTAGTCCCTCTTAATTTTATTTCTGTTTAATGAATTCCAAAAAAATCTCAGCAGAGTCCAAGATGAATAGCAGAGTAGAACGGACATAAGGATGATGAAGGCAATCACGTCCAAAAGGAAGTACTGGTAGAATGGCAGGTCGGTGCCTGCTGCTCGGAGATGCTGAGCCCCCTTGTTTCGTATTACGTACTCGGTCCAGAAGACCGCCAGATCTCTCGGGGGAATCGGAGTGTCTCTATGTAACCGTGACAGTTTCTTCATGCTGGCCCTATAAGATGGATTCTCAATGACCGTGCGAACAGCAGCATAAACGTCCTGCCTGCTCAGCTGGTGTAGGTTCTCGAGAAGGACGGCTGCCCCTTTTATTGACAGACGAAGGAGGTTTTCATAATTGTCCCCAAAAAGTGGGAAGCCCACAATTGGGACTCCGTGATAGATGGCCTCGTAGATGCCGTTTTCCCCTCCGTGTGCGATAAACGCCATTGCGTTAGGGTGGCCCAGGAGGTCATTCTGGGGTATCCAGCTCAGAAGCTTGGTGTTGTTTCCTAAAGTAGGAATCGGAAGGCCAGAGTAACGCCACACCACTCTTTGTGGAAGCAGAGCCAGTCCAGCTGCAATCTCTGTGGCCACGTTTGCAGGCAGAGTGCTGGTTATTGTTCCCAGAGAGAAGATGATGGCACCATTTTCTGCACCATCCATAAAATCCTTGAGATCTGGAGGAAGATGCTTTGCTGGCCTAGTGTGGAATCCCCCGATATAGATGGCATTTGGCATGCTTGGTCTAAGGAACTCCAGTGCAAAGTCGAATTTCATCAGATAAATGTCGGCCCGCGTGTAAAGGGTGTAGATGCTTTCGTCCGATTTCAGGTATCGTGAGCAGAGATCATTATAACTAGAATAGATAAAGATGTGGTTCACTAAATTCCCAAATCCATACATGATGACGTTTTTCAGTCGCTGTGTGAAGGACATTCTATCCGTGAGTCTGGAGTTCAGCACAGGAACGTATGACAGAGGAGATGGGGCAATTTTGAAGTGAATGTCTTCAGTGGGCATCCACCTCCCGAACAAAACGATGGGTAGGTTTAAGTAACGTGCCAGCATCACCCCCCCTGGAAAGAAAGGGTCTGCTAGAACAATGTCGAAATTGGTCTGTTGGAGTTGCCTCATCAAAATGACATTGTTAAACATAGCTTCAATCGCAAGCCTGTAATCGCCACTTACTCTTCTAATGGACACAAGGAGTTGCCAGACGCTAGTGCTCGAGCAGCTCTTTCTGCTGAAGGCATTATGGAATATCCAGGACTGGGCGACTTGTTTCTTCTCCTCCTTTGTCCTTGCTTGATTCTCCGGGAGCTGGACCGTGAGAACATTGAAGTCAGGAGACGAGGCATCGATGTTCAGATTGTTTGAGAATCTGACCACAGTGATGTTGTGGCCCCTTGCCATGAGCTCCAGGATCAAAACCTTCATGGTATTCCAATGACTTCCATCCACAGGCACTGTGAGCACTTTCCCAGTGTACACAGGCCTGTAATCTGTGGAAAGGACTAAACAAATCAATATCCATAAAATTCTGCATTTTGCCATTCTTGTTATTTACGTAGGATGTCTCTAGTAGCAACAGCCAGAGTAGGTTTCTTAACTGTCTCATATGGTTGCTGTTTACTTTATGTGCTTCAGCAGGAAGTGTTTTTCCCCTCCTCTCCCACGTGGTTTATGTTTAAGCAGTTCTTATCAAATGAATGGTTCTTGTATGGGGAGTGACTTTCCCCCCATGTTATAAAGTGAAAGACTGGCTGAACAAGTTGTGGCAAGACCTTTGAACACTTGCATCACATAGTTCGTTTGCAATATATCAGAGAGTTGATTTTGACAAGTTGTCCTTGGCTCACTGCACGAGTTCAGTAATGACATGACGATATAATGACGATAGGGCTGGACCGCTAAAATGCATTTTTGTTTTTTCAAGCATAACCGGAGTTTATTTAGTTCCTAAGTTTTTTTTTTGGGTTGATTGACAAGTGCTGAAGTTAACATGGTCATGATGTACCCTAGATGTGTTCTAGACTAAACAGATTTTAATGAGTTTCAAGTTTAACTAACGTTCTCTGTTACAGCAAATGAAACCTTGCCTACAGACATTGCTAAGATAAATAGATGTAATGTAATAAACCATTAGTTAGGCTTCATTTTGGCTAAATTGTGCTTACTAATTAGGCCTTAGGGGGATACATGGTAGTGTGCACTATACTGTCTGTCAGCATTCCAGGGAGGGCTGAAGCTGTGTTTAAGCCGGCAGTGGCCCTACGCCG